GGACCCTTAGGGTCCTTTCACACGGGCGTTGTGTTTTTTTCATCAATTCAGTCATATTTTTTCCAAGACAAAATGGATCGGTTCACATCAGTTTCATCTGTTTTCATCCATTTTTCATCAGTTTACATCCGTTTTTTTTACATCCTTTACCAATGCAAAAATCGCACTGTATGTCCGTTTACATCCATTTTTTGTCCGTTACATTTTTTTTCTTTTCTTTTTTTATGGAAGGAAAATTGGGTTTTCTTCAGTTTAAAAAAAAACAGATGTAAACAGATGATCATCTGTTTACATCCACTAGTCCATCAGTTCAGTCACATTTTTTTTCCCCAAGAAAAAAAAGGATCACTTCACATCCGTTTCTCATCAGTTTACATCCGTTTTTTTACATCCTTTACCAATGCAAAAATGGACCGTATGTCTATTTACATCCGTTTTCATCCGCTTTTTTGTCCATTTTTCCTTTGTTCCATTTTGTATTTTCTTTTACGGAAGGAAAATAGGGTTTTCTTTCACTCAAAAAAATGGATGTTAACGGATGCGAACATTAACGGATGTAAACAGATGATCATCTGTTTACATCCGCTAGACCATAGAAATACATGGGGGTCAGTTTTTCATCCGTAAACGGACAGATGAAAAACGGGACATACGGAACCCCCGTATGAAATGGGCCTAACTGGGATCCTGCACACCTGGTGGAGAGCGGTTTATAACTTCCAGCACAGGTGCATCAAAGCTCAGAAATCAAAAGAAAATAAAAAGAATAAAGTGTATCAAAAGGCAAAACTGCTTTGAATGGTTTTGGATGGTGTGGAGAGCAGTTAGAACCTCTGTCATGTTTTTATTACTGTCTGGGTACCCATTAGGGAGATTCACCCTCTTTGTTTGTCCTGGTCAGCACTGTTACCGAGACAGAAAGTAGTGATGGAAAATCCAAAATAATACGTTGTCTCCAGAACAGGAATAGGTGGACAAGCTTGCAATGGGGGCATCTTTAAGAGCGAATTTTTCTCACTTTGTAAAGATTTCTTCTCACTTCCGGTTGTGTCATTAGAAGAGGAAGTGAAGAGAAATCTCCTTATTGGAAATGCCAATTCAGCCTGTAGTCAAGGCTCTTAATCCTACGAAGACCATGACCCAATAAACTCCTCCAAAATTTTCTGGAGGAGGCAACTGTGAGGGATGGGAGACAGAGGAGAGGAGGCTGGGGTCTCTCTAGGGTGCTGGGGGATTTGCAGTGTGAGATGGGGAAACAGCTCTCATTGTGAATTAAATGTTTTGAAATGTTTTACTGACATTCTGCGATTTAGCTACAAGATGTCACTGTTTTTCCTAACACAGCCTCAGACTGCATAGATATTTCTATATTCATGAAGGGGTGGGGCTTACACATGAGAGCTCAGTGAACAGGAAGAGAGACTGCAGCCATGTTTTGATGATGGTGAAGGAAAAGAGCCATGTGAGCAGAGAATCCATTGGCATCCAGGTGTGAGAACTGCAGCATAAGTGAAGCTGATGGTGTTCAAGACGCTAATCCTGTTCAGAAAAAGGCTTGTTGGAGAGACATTTGTTCTGTTCAGAGTCACCAGCGGATGAAAAGCAGACCCGGGTCGGTAAGATCGTGCACACACCTCATTTCAGTGTTGGCGCCTCCAGAGACTGAGACAGGCCTATAGTTAGTTAGGGTCTCTGTTAGTGTCAGGCCACAAGTGTTGTTACTGATTATTGGAAGGACTCCACAACTTAAAGTGACATTTCACATTGGAGAGCTGATAAAATCCCACAAACTCAAGCCAGACTGGCGTTTTGCTCAGAAGGAATACTCAGGCACGTGCTACAGGACCAGTTATGGGAGGGGGAATACTGTAGATTTGTGTAAGATTGTAAGCTGTTGTGCTGCACCGCAGGCTAGCCCATACCATACACCCATACACTGATTCCTGCTCTCTTAGGATAATAACAGGTAAGGTGTGGCAGCTTAGTTGTGCCCGCCCGTAGGTAAATTACTTCACCTTCTACCTTCATCCATCAGAAGGCACCGTGCTGTGCAGCACAAGGGTCTCAGCCTTTGGGCTGTAAATCTATTGTATGTTTCCAGCATTTGTGGTTGTGTTTATTTGCCACATCTAAGTAACATTCTGTTGTGACAAAAAACTGGTGTTGGGGTTGCTTTCCTCGTTCATGACTTCACTGTATCCTGGGGAGCCCACCCCGGTACACGGCTTACAGCAGGCCTGGAGGGGAGATTGGGGGTCACTGTGAGAGATGGACACTTGGGATACTTTTGGAGGTTGGACACTCTACAGGGGGTTGGAGGCCATTATGAAGCTCTGTGAGAGGTAGGAGGGCACTGTAGAGGCTGAGGGCTTTCATGATGCTTTGGGGACACTGTGGGAGGTTGAGGGACACTATGGGAGCCGGGAGGCATTGTGGGAGGTTTGAAGATCTACAGTTGCTTGGAGGCTCTGGGAGCACAGCAAGCGTTGAATGCAGTAAATATTCCACCCTATCCCTTTCCTTACCCACTTACGTCAGACCTTCTATCAGTACAGGGGTCTGCTGCGAAAAGTCTTACTTTCCCTGGTCAAATGACTGGAAAGAGGAAATACGGGACTCCCTGGCAGGTCCTTATACTGCTGCTGCTCTGCATCAAAGGAGGCCTCTTCGTAAAGCCTAACAGAGCACTTGGTGCCTACTGGCACTCCCTGGCAATAGGGAGGTGACACTGCAAACTGTCCTATTAAGTCTACTCCCATTAGGCCCCAACCTCGGCCTGGCAGCAGGACACTACACAGTGGTAGAGAACCAACAGACTATAGTGTATGAGGGTTATACTCAGACATGTGGGCTGAGTGGAAAATGTATTGAGTATCAGATGGCATAATTTAATTCAATGAAGGCCATTTTAGCAGTTTCACTTTTGGGATTACATTCCAGCCTGTTTCCCAAATGTTAACACTCTATTCATATACAGAGTGGTCCATATATTGTATACTATATGGGTGAATATATGTGGATTCCCCTCCAAATGAAGGAGTTTGGGTCTTTCCAGCAAAGGGTACCATTAATACTACATCATACACTGTGGACCAGGGGTCTCCAAACAAAGGGCCAGTTTTTGTCCTTCAAACTTTAGAGGGGCCGGACTGTGGCTAGTGGGAGTGGACATTTTTCTGCCATCAGCGGGAATAAACACTGCCACATTGAGTATTGGGGGGGGGTATTAGTGTCCCATCATTGGTATCCTTGGGAGGAATACTGCTCCATTATTGGTGTCAGTGGGAGAAATGGTGCACTATTGTTGGTATCAGTAGGCAGAATAGTGTGTCTTATCAGTGGAAAGAATAGTGCACCAAAAGGCAAGCAAAGGGCCACATCCAGCCCCAGGGCTGCAGTTTGGAGACCACTGCTGTAGACAACTGTACTCTTCCAACTTTGCTGTAACATTGTGGTGAAGACTGTTTTCTGTTCCTCCATGACTGTGCCCCTGTGTACAAAGCCAGCTCCACAAATACATGGTTTGACCACTTTGGTGTGGAGGAACTCAAGTTTCCGGTACAGAGCCCTGACCTCAACCCTACTAAACACCTTTTGAGATGAAATACCAATGGTCAGCCAGGTCTTCTCTTCCACCATCAGTACCTGACCTCACAAATGGGCACACATTCCCACAGACACCCTCCATTCTGGTCTCCCAAGAAGAGTGAAGGATGTTCTATCCATAAGAAAGGGGAGCAACTCCATATTGGGGTATTCAACCAGCTTATATGGGTGTGATGGGAAGTGGTCTACAAACGTTTGCCCATATACACTACTGTATACTGCATGGAGGATGCGGGCACCTCCTGAAAAGTCCTGATATGGGAACTAGGGAACTCTATCATTTCTACCTCTCTTAGTATTTATCTATGCTTTTTGCATTTTAGGAACATGAATAAAAGCAAAATTGAAAGCATAAGTGTTTAACTGACAATGACGGTTAGATCAGTTAATGTTGTAACGGGCGGTTTCCCCGGCAGATGGGCGTTAAGGTCAGATCTTTGCTGGTTCTGTTCCTGTGCAGTCATTTTGCATGATACTTAGCAGACTGGCTGGGTAATGACAAGGAAAGGAAAAGATAAGTGGTTGTATTTATTGTTCTCAGCAGCTTTTTATTAATAAATATTCCTTATGTTTAGGTAGGTCACAGTTCTTTCCTAAAGCTGAAGTTTGGGTACGGCTTTTTGTTCCTTGAATGGTACCCATGCCAATCGTCCACCCTCCTGTGTTCACAGCGCAGCCACTCAGCATGGAATCCAGAAATTATTGGAGATCACTGTAGTAGCGGTCTATTAGAAGAGTCTACCACAGTGATTTCCAGCTTCTAGAGGGATCCCGTAAGTATGGTATATACATGGTTACAATGGTCCAAACTGTACCGGTGTATACAAAAATATCCATTCTCGGAATTCAGCTTTAATCCTTTCACCGACACAGACGTGTATAGAGTCACTTTTGGTTTCTGGTGTCATTTTCTCAAGAAGGTAAAGAAGCTAATGGAGCACAATCTACACTTTGTCAGCGTCATTGAAGGCAAAGTGAGACCCTGAGAGTCGGGGGTGTCTATGCATGAAAACATTGATTATACTACACCTGTTACATACTGCCATGCACTTTGGAGCGAGAGCAATAATTCTAGGGTCATTATGCACTGTTAACTTTTAAACCGATGACCTGTAAGTTACCTACATAACATTTAGGGTGCTGAAGCTTGTCATCATTTAAAAAAACAAATAAAAGTACTGTATAGTAAAAAAAATTATATATATATATATATATATACATACATACACATATATATATACATACATACACAAACACATACATACACACATATATACAGTATATATACACACACACTATATTGCCAGAAGTATTGGCCCCGCCCTCCAAATCATGTGATTCAGGTGTTCCAATCCCCTCCATGGACACAGGTGTATACAATCCATCCCCTAGGCATGCAGACTGCTTCTACAAACATTGGTGAAAGAATGGGTCGCCCTCAGGAGCTCAGTGACTCCAAGCGTGGTCCCGTGATAGGTGGTCACCTGTACAATAAGTCCATCCGTGACATTTCCTGGCTACTAAATATTCCACGCTCAACTGTTAGTGGGATTATAACAAAGTGGAAGCAACTGGGAACAACAGCAACTCAGCCACCAAGTGGTAGGCCACGTCACATGACAGGGCGGGGTCAGCGCATGCTGAAGTGCACAGTGCGCAGAAGTCACCAACTGTCTGCAGAGTCAATAGCTAAAGACCTCCAAACTTGGTGTGGCCTTCAGATGAGTCCAACAACAGTGCGTAGAGAGCTTCATGGAATGGGTTTCCATGGGCCGAGCAGCTGCATCCAAGCCTTCCATCACCAAGTGCAATGCAAAGCGTCGGATGCAGTGGTGTAAAGCACGACACCCACTGGACTCTAGAGCAGGGGAGACGTGCTCTCTGGTGTGACCAATCATGCTTCTCTGGCAATCCGATGGACGTGTCTGGGTTTGGCGGTTGCCAGGAAAACAGTACTTGCCTGACTGCATTGTGCCAAGTGTAAAGTTTGGTGAAGGAGGAATTATTGTGTGGGGTTGTTTTTCAGGGGTTTGGCTTGGCCCCCTAGTTCCAGTGAAGAGAAATCTTAAGACATCAGCATACCAAGACATTTTGGACAATTTCATGCTCCCAACTTTGTGGGAAGAGTTTGGGGGTGGCCCCTTCCTGTTCCAACATGACTGCACACCAGTGCACAAAGCAAGGTCCATAAAGACATGGAGGAGCCAGTTTGGGGTGGAGGAACTTGACTGGCCTGCACAGATTCCTGACCTCAACCCCATAGAACACCTTTGGGATGAATTAGAGCGGAGACTGTGAGCCAGACCTCCTCCCCCGACATCAGTGCCTGACCTGACAAATGTGCTTCTGGAAGAATGGTCCAACCTTCCCATAGACACCCTCCTAAACCTTGTGGACGGCCTTCCCAGAAGAGTTGAAGCTGTTATAGCTGCAAAGAGCGGGGCCAACTCAGTATTGAACCCTACGGACTAAGACTGGGGGGCCATTAAATTTCATGTGCGTGTAAAGGCAGGCGGCCCAATACTTTTGGCAATATAGTGTGTGTTTGTGTATATATATATATATATATATATATATATATACATACACACATACACACACACACACACACACACACACTGCCATGAAAAAGTATTCATACCCCTTGAAAATTTCCACATTTTGTCATGTTACAACCAAAAACGTAAATGTGTTTTATTGGGATTTTAGACCAATACAAAGTGGCACATAATTATGAAGTGGAAGGAAAAAGATAAATGGTTTTGAAATTTTTTTAGAAATAAACATGTGCAAAGTGTGGTGTGCATTTGTATTCAGCCACATGCCACTTCTTGCACTGAACGGAATCGGCCTAATTTGGATGTCATTTACTGCCAGCTGGGCGACATCTGCAGGCAAGAGGTGCCCGGAGATCTGCGGCAGAATGGCCAGCGATTATTACGATAGGCTGTCCTGGAATGATGGGTGAATGCGCCATAAGAGCGGCCTCCGCAGAGATCTCACTCACTGTCAGGCAGTGTTAATTCACCGGCAAATCCCTTTAATCCTGCCGGCAGCGGAGATTGTACAGCAAGCAGACGAGGCAATGAGATAATGGGATTGGAGGGTGACTGGGCTACTTATGGTGCCTATTAACCCATCCAACTGCTGAAGCGCTACAGAGGAGACATGGTACAAAAAGAGGGATGACGCTCCGGAAATCTAGTCATGCGATTTCATAGTTACTGTACATAGTTAGTCTGGCTGAAAAAAGACAAAAGTCCATCCAGTTCAACCATTAAAAAAAAAAATTAAAACAGTGATAGTCACACACCCACAGTTGATCCAGAGGAAGGTAAAAAAAAACCCAGCAAACATGATCCAATTTTCTCCTGCAGCGGAAAAAAATCCTTCCTGATCCCCCGAGAGGCAATCGAATATTCCCTGGATCAACTTTACCCATAAATGTTAGTATCCAGTTATATTCTGTGTATCCAAGAAAGAATCCAGGACTTTTTTAAAGCAATCTACTGAGCTGGCCAGAGCCAACTCTTGAGGGTGTCTATTCCACATTTTCACAGCTCTTACTGTGAAGAACTGGGCTCGCGTCCTTCCCAGTCGGCAGACCTGGAAGGCAAAGACCTCTGGGTTCATATCTTCTTCAGGCAGCAGATCTGGGGGCAAGGACCTCTGGACTCACAACCTTTCTAAACAGCGGATCTGGGAAGCAAGGACCTCTGGACTCATATTCGCCCTAGACAACAGATCTGGAAGGAAAGAACCTATTGGCTCACATCTTCTCCAGGCTGAAGACCTGGGAGGCAAGGACCTCTGTACTCATATTCACCCTAGACAACAGATCTGGAAGGAAAGGACCTCTGGGCTCACATCTTCTCCAGGCTGAAGACCTGGGAGGCAAGGACCTCTGGACTCATATTCGCCCTAGACAACAGATCTGGAAGGAAAGGACCTATGGGCTCACATCTTCTCCAGGCTGAAGACCTGGGAGGCAAGGACCTCTGGACTCATATTCGCCCTAGACAACAGATCTGGAAGGAAAGGACCTATGGGCTCACATCTTCTCCAGGCTGAAGACCTGGGAGGCAAGGACCTCTGGACTCATATTCGCCCTAGACAACAGATCTGGAAGGAAAGGACCTATGGGCTCACATCTTCTCCAGGCTGAAGACCTGGGAGGCAAGGACCTCTGTACTCATATCCTCCCCAGTCAGGCTAGGTGGCAAGGATCTCTGGACTCACATCCTTCCTAGGCAGCAAGCCTGGGAAAGAAGGAACTCTGGACTTCATCCTTCCTAAACAGCAGACCTGGGAGGCAAGGACCTCTGGACCCAAATCCTCTCCAAGCAGCGGATCTGGGAGGCAAGGACCTCTGGACTCATATTTGCCCTAGACAACAGATCTGGAAGGAAAGGACCTATGGGACATCTTCTCCAGGCTGAAGACCTGGCAAGGACCTCTGGATTCACCCTAGACAACAGATCTGGAAGGAAAGGACCTATGAGCTCACATCTTCTCCAGGCTGAAGACCTGGGAGGCAAGGACCTCTGGACTCATACCCTCCCCAGTCAGCAGACCTGGATGGCAATGATCTCTGGACTCACATCCTCTCCGGGCAGTGGATCTGGGAGGCAAGAACCTTTGGATTCATATCCTCCCTCGACTGCAATGCTAGGAGGCAATAACTTCTGGACTTACATCCTCCCCAGGTAACAGGACTAGGGGTAATATCCTCTGGACCCACATCCTCCCCAGACAGAAGACCTGGGAGGCAAGGAACCTTCCATCACATCCTTTTCAGTCAAAGCCTGTGGTCGGAAGAAGTCCTTCCAAAGGTCTCCATAATGTTTTATCTTCATCCCTAGCCCATTTTTCTTTCTGTGATAAATTAACTTTGTGCCTGGCTATAAATCTAAGTATCTTCTGACAGCGGCCATTCACACTGCGGAGAAGAGAAGGCAGCAAACCGCCTCTTTAATCAGCTTGCTTTGTGCAGGAATTAAATTGCATTTACAGAATATTGTTCCACATAAAAGCGCTGTAAAGTAGCAGCATTGTGACGAGCCGCTCCTGCATCTCGGAGATATAACTGCCAGGAGGAGATATAGAGACCCCGTAAAATGCCTGCCAGCTGCCAAGAACAGCGCAACGCTCCTCTCTGTCCTCGCTGCAATGAATCTCGCCTGGCAGAGCCACTACCAAAATCCTACATTGTCTCTGAAAATCCTTCAGGTCCCCGAGAGAAGAGAATTCAGAAAATAGACCGCGGAGAGATGATTGCGTCTGACACCGCAGAGCGGCAGGGGAGGACAACACCATGAGATTAAAGGACGGCTACAAACCCTGTATGACATAGTAATAATGCCGAGAAGACAGACAGGGGGCAATTTATAAAGGAGGACTCTTCCCTTGGCAGCATTTTGCAACATTTTGGTTGCTAAATTTGGCCGCTTTATTTCTATGGTCCACACAAGACAGGAATGTTAAATCATTTTAGCGTATAATGTGCCGAATGGCAAAAAAGTTTTGGATCTGCTAAAAAACAATAAAAAAAACAAAAACTTTTTCTGCTTTTGCAGGCGCTGTATGTATTTTAGTCATTACAGATGGTGAAGCTGCACCCTGCAAATACCCCTTTCCCTTATCCCGTCAATAGAGACAAAGAAGAATAGAGAAGTGACGGCAGAAAAAGACCTTGTGGTCCATCGAGTGCTTCCATTTTTTTTTTCTGTTTTGTTTATTTTTGTTTTTTTAACCACTTGCCCTTCAGAGGATTTCCCCCCTTCCTGACCAGGCCATCTTTTGCGTTACGGCGCTGCATTACTTTCACTGACAATTGCGCGGTCATGCAAAGCTGCACCCAAATGTAATTTACGTCATTTTTTTCCCCACTAATTAAGCTTTCTTTCCATGGTATTTGATCTTTATTTTTTGCACTATAAAAAAAAAAAAAAAGACCGACAATTTTGAGAAAAAAAAAATATTTTTTACTTTTTGCTATTAAACATGTCCAGTAAACATTTTAAAAAAATCTAATTTCATCATAAATTTAGGCCAAAATGTATTCTGCTCCTGTCTGTGCTAAACAAAATCCCAATACGTGGAAATTTATTGGTTTACGTGAAAGGTATAGCGTCTACAAATGGCGGTATATTTACACTGGGCTTTTTTTGTCTTTTTTTTTTTAATATATATATATTTTTACTAATAATGGCGGCGATCAGCAACTTATAGAGGGACTGTGGCGGGCATTCTGATATTGGGGGGGAACGGACTTGGTTTCACGGACATCCCCAGTGACATCAATACAGTGATCAGTGCTAAAAAAAAAAAAAAGCACTGACACTGTACTAATGACACTGAGCATGAAGGGGTTAACATGTGGAGCTATCAAAGGGTTAGCTGTGTGCTGTTTGACTATGTCCTGTGTCTGTGTGCTTCACTGTAAGCACACTGCTTTGGATGTGCTCTGCCCAGCCATCCAAAGCAGTGTACACGAGCCGACAGGGAGGAGAACTGTTTTGTTTACTAACAGTTCTCCCTGTCGGAGATCCTTGGCAATCACCGCCCGGGACCCGGTGATTGACAGCCACGGCCGCGAGTGTTGGCACAGATAGGGTACGTGTGCCCCCTACCGGAGATGCAAAATCACATTTTTATATATATGTGTGCGTGTGTGTGTGTGTGTGATTTTGCGCACCCATGCCGCTCTGCAGCAGTATTTCTACTATAGGGCGAAGGGTTAATTAAAACCTTGCTCTGAGCTGAAGGAAACTGGCTTGTAGCTTTGAGTGTTTGAATTGCTGCCGATCACGATCAAGGGAAACCATGCTCACACAGAGTGACTACAGTGATGACCCAAACT